GTGACCGAAACATTAAAGAATTTCAAATATATGTTGTTTCATTGGCAAGACTAATATGAGGGATTATAATTTTTACGTATTCAAATTCCGCGTCATATACCAGTTTGATGACGTCAATGTTATGTTTACTCAACAACTGGTAAGGCGTCAAACAAGTGTCTAGTCTGTTAGTTTTGCGAGTTGAAGGAGAGATAACATACATGTATGTGATATAGTTAATTTCACAGCCGATACAACAATGTAAAAAAGCAAGATAGTTACTCAATATATGATTGTTCTATTTGTAATACTTTGAAGGAGACCCTATTGAAATACCTAAACACTTGTAAAAAAAGTTGTTATTCCACTTTTATAGTTATTTTACGAACAGACCTCGTATAGCAAATGGAAAAATATGGCTTTATCAGGCCCAACTACAAAAGTAGACACACATGCTCACACATCCAGATACGGGTGTAACCTGAGGAAACGAAGATAGAGAGGGAACAAAACGACACACGAAGACACCAACAAGAGCCAACCTACGAATTTTCAAAGCAACTTCTATCTATGTACAGTAATATCTGAGAACAAATTGGTTGTTGCTCATCCAGTTAGGTTTCTTTGATTAAAGATCGCTGAAAATTTCTATATTTTCAAGAAAAATAATTTGCACTTGACGCATGAAATTTGCATTTTCAATTACTTGTGATGAAAAACATGGATATAAAATGTGTTATGTAGCACCATTAATTGTTGAAAACTATATTAGCGGTCATTTTCCCACTGTAATACATGTATCTATCATCAGCAGGAAAAAACGATAAAATTGATCCACCTCCAATAATGAAACAGTGAAAGTTATGTAGGTGTTTTGTCGATAATAAAAAACTACTTGCGAATATCAAATTAGAATCATTGTCAGCAGTGTCAGCGCTGCAAATATTAATAATGCTGCAAACACACTCATTAAATACGTAGACCATTTAACTGAATGTAGTACTAACCGTATTAAAATTAAACATTATTACAGAAGCAGGGATCCCTGGATAACTAAAGTCAGTCAATAAAAAAGAGGAACTGTACAAAATGATGAAAGAGCATCACCAGGTGCCGATACCTCCCGTGAATACAATGAATACGAAAATATGTATTTTTATCAATTTGGTTAGAGAGGCAAAACGCTAATTTTATTGAAAAAAATTGCAAGGTGCCAAATCGTAGCTGATGACTGGAATACACTGAAGAAAATCGCGGAAAAGGATTTTATGGGGATCATTGATTGGTTTGATAGTAATATTTTTACCGTTAACTTATTAATTATCATAACCAAAAAACAAAAACCGATGTAATTGACAGTTTAAAATCTTGGAGTATTTATACACTAACGTTTTTTATCATATTATAAACTCAAAATGCTTCAAACATTCTTACAGAACGTTATCTGCAAATACTGTACCATGCCATAGTTGAAACCCATAGATTATACGGCATCACAGCCTGGGGTGCCACCTGAATGAGATATACCTATTTCTAATCTATATATAGCACAAAACCCTATTCTAAAAGCCATTTTCCAAAATCCAAGATTATATCCGTCGAACAACTTGTATGAAGAAATACCACCTTATATCATAAGCATTGTAATTAGCAAAATTTGCATAAATGACACACGATTTCGAATAGACTCATATAAAATACAAAAACCACACAAAAAATTATTCCAAAAATCAATCTAAATTCTTAGCGGTTAATTTATATAATATAGTACCAAACGAAATAAAGACTTTTAAATTGAAAGTCTTGTACCGTAGAACCAATGACTATACATGGTTATATAAGAAACTAAAGCTGTAAAATATCAAATCTTATAAATACTCTTTATAAATAACTATATTTGTCATACACATATGATCTTTGTTAGTTAGTAAGATATAATCCACACACATGGCATGCCTTCTATGGGTTTTTCATATTTATTTGCGCATGTTTAAATAAGTTTGTATTTTGGCGAATAAATATAACTATCATTATTATTGGCACCAATTATTGCGAGCTGATTAGCCTTGAGTATACAATGCAATTCAAAATATAGCGCCTGAATAAGAAACAAGTTCAGCATCGTCCCCTTTAATAACTGTCGTAATCCCCTTGTTAAAAGGAGCTCGCGCGCCGAGTGCAGAGGTCAGATGACCGCTGGTCACTCTACCGAGTGCTGGTTGTCCCTTCTTAGGGCCTGTCCGGCTGCCTTTTCAACCCCGCCGATTCTATGCTGTCCATCAGGTTTATTTCGGTCATTTATCATACAGAATATATGTAAGGTGTTTGTTTTCCTGAGTGAAAAAAATGACGGCAAGTAGATTGACTGCCTGCTTCCTACGTCTTCGTTGGGGGTTTCAAAGAAGCGAGATGAGTCAAATCGTTTCAAAACGCGAAATCGAGTCGTGATTAGGTAGATTAACTTAGGGACGATGAATCGCCGATCTCTGCATATCAAACAGTATATAGTAAATCTATCATTACCTACTTCTGTTTACATGGCAGATATTTGGAAGATATGTGTGACTTATTACTAACAGGTGCATAGTGTCATTAAGATCAGCAGCATCTTAATAATGGAAAGTCTTTCACTGATACAAAATATGCAACATATTACAACCACTTACCGCAAAACAGTGTCTTAAAATGAGCAGAAATCTCTGAAAGGTTGTAGCACCACGTTCCAGCGATTTTATTTTCACCGCCTCTGAATTAGTTCTCAAAATCTACGACTACCTAAGCTGTTCACAAGATTTGTTGCTTAAAGATATCTTCATCATGCAAGCCTGTGTTCCTCAATTGCGTCGGATTGTCAGTCTGTGTCTGTTGTATATCAGTCCGTCATAAGTTCTGAGTCAATCTACTTGACGAAATATTTAGATATATATATATATATAGATAAAGTAACACAAATTGAAGGTTAGGTGAATATTTAAGGATCATAAGATATAAGTTTATTTACAAAATCATCGCAGAGCGTATTCCTAATGTCCAAATAGTGCTAAAATATATGAATATTTCTCTTGTAGCGATGTGCCAGTGACGATACCACCGCAGACCAGTTCGAATTTGTTACCCATTGCACAGTTGGCAGTGGATTCTACGACGATGCAGCATCGCGCCGTGCAGGCAACGCCAAGGATTGCCAAGTTATTTCGAATTATGAGCACATTATACATCGGACTTTTATCATTCAATTCTCCTGTTGTTACCGGGATTAGAAGCTTCTTAATGATAAAAGTCATTGCTTAATACTAACTACTAACCTTACATTTACCACCCTCAATTTCAACCCTTACAAATAAAAAACAAGTGTGCTATCCTTTTGTCCCAATCCAAATGAAGTATTATTTATTCATTCTTACAAATGATCTTCTACGAACTCCTTAAGGAGAAAATTTGTTCCAGTTTTCAAAAAAAGTATATCAGTTGTTAAAAATCCTTTATAGAAAAAAATTGAGTGTGCTACCCTTTTGTCCCGAACTTTCGGTCTTCAAAATATTTCGACCCGTCTAGTGGGCCCAATCGCCGGCCAGCGACTGCTTGCACCGATCTTACATAACCACATACGTGACAGAACGAGTCCATCCATTAATAGAGCCTTCCTATTTCCGAATCTGGATATAACTGTATCGCATTTCAGGTATAGCGATCATAATGGAAGACAAATAAAATTCGGTTTAAGTGTAGAGCAGGAAATAAATTAGGAATTGGGCTGTGCAGCTGACACAAAAGAGTGGCAGGGTTGGAAGGGAGGAAACTGGAACTCTTAAGCAAACCTCACATAATTAAATTGTCATCGCTAATCCGGAAGCCCAGGTCATACATCACGTGACCACACGTCACGACCTTTTCGGACACCATCATTAATTTCGCAAACACTGCTACGCGACGGTCCGAGAATCTAAGGGCTTCAGAGGGGTGAGGAGTACGAAGAAGCGTAGTGGTCACTCGATCAACTCCACTGCTACAGGTTGGAGTCGTACTGTGATAGGGTAATCTCATAGTTAACCTATCTTCTCCAACCCTAGGTTATACAGAAAAATATAGATAATTATAACTGTATATTTCTTTGCGCTAAAGTAAATTTAACGCCAGCTATCTCCAAATTTATGTTCATCGACCACGTGGAATATCCGTTGATTGTCTCAAAATTCAATGTAACTTCTGAAACTTATCCTGTGGTTTTTATGTTCATAGGACTCCTTTGTCTGACCGAACCAAATCACTCTCATGTTTAAATTTCTGTTTATTGTACGACGTTTCGATCAATACTGTGACCTTTTTCAAGTGCAATTGATAATTATTTGACAATATATCTTCTAGGTGACATTTCGTTTATTTTTTTCCTTTTCACCTTCCTATACAGTCTTCTATACAGTATGTCACTACAACAGTCTAAACTAAACGATACTATAACATGTTGAGATCACTGGTTTTGCGCGGTGGCAACTTAAATTTCAAAGATGGATTCTCGCAATCTCAACATGTTACAGAACCGTTGTATAGGAATGTGAGGACAAAAACAGAAACCAAATATCACCTGGATGACAGATAAACAAAATATATTGTCACATAATTGTCAATTGTACTTGAAAAAGACCACAATGGTAGCCTAAACATCGTATGATAAACAGAAATTTAAGCATGTATGTGGTTGGATTCAGCCAAGCAATGGAGTCTTATGTCTCGAAATTTGTATCAACAAAAAATCTCTATTGATTAGTTAAGCAATCATGGTATTTTTTCTTTCAGCTACGCCTTCCTGGCTGTATAGAAAAAGTGTAAAGTCTGTGATTTAATTTTGACCAACGGTGATATTTGGCCCTTTTTATTAAATCTAAAATAATGTATCCTTTTGCCTCTAACTCCTTATCAGTTAATACTTAAATATTCCAGAAACCAAAAAATTGTGTTTATTTTGAACTGACAATTATTATCAGCCATTTAAGAGCACCAAATCTGTTATAACCAGTAATAAACAACAATCAGTGCACTAAAGACAAGCACATAAAAATGCACATTAAATGTCGCCATAAAGAAACATCATTATCGAAAAGGCCAGATAACTCAGTGTATAAAAGCTGGCCGCATCCCTTTGAAAGGCAGAACTTGCACTTTCGTCAAACTTCAACGAATCACCTGTTAAAATGATTCCAGCTGTATTGGTCCTGCTTTCCTGTATGGCCGTTTTGGCCCAGGGAGTAATCGTTGATCCTGTGACAGCTGCCATTGCTCTGAAAGGAGACATTCGGACACCGTTTGGATTTGGAAGGTTTACTGGAACTACTGGGCCACTGAGCTTAATTGGAAGATCCAGGTAAGATTTTAACCTACGCATAAGGATTACATAAAATGTTTGCTGACAGAACTGGTCTGTCTGTTACAAGGTTACACAATCGTTGCAATTGCACGGATCACCAGTGTGGTAGTCAATTTTACTGACTAATGGCGATTTTGATAAAATTGTGTAAGAGAAAAAAAGAAAACATACTAAATAGTTTTCAGGTAAATCTGAGCGATGTGTATCAATCGCTTACATTTTTGAAGGTCAATGCATTGGGAACGGATCAGATATCAAATCAAAAAATTATAACTTCTGATTAAGTATTCTAATCGAGAAAACTTTCGAAAATGAGGTATTATGTTTTTTTGATGTTATATGACATGTACATCACGAAACACCATGTCACTCATTTCCGGCGGTCTGTCTGTCGGTCTGTCCGCTAATCTTATGTTAGAACATTTATACGCTCCCGACCTTGGTAATTCTGCGCACCTATTATGCCGGCTTCTCACTGCGCGTGTTGACCCGCGCCACGCCGCGCCGGCACGCGCCTCGCGCAGTGTGAAGAGCTTGGCGCGGGCAGGCGCGGCGTGGCGCGACCTATCCGCTAAAAGTCGGTAACTTCAAAGGCGCGGCGCGGCGTGTACCTACCCAGACAGACGAACACGATTGAACTCGTTCATTTCATTTTGACTCGTCCTACGTTGAGGTACTGTGGTGAATATGGAGTGGCCGAATGAAACGATCGCCGAATTTTTAACTTTGTATGAAGGCGAACCCTCTCTGTGGAATTCGAAAAATGCGGAGCATAAAAACAAAAACGACCAGCATGATGCCTGGCTGCGAATTAAACAGAATTTAAAAGGTGGTACCATACCGTTACAAGAAATTAAAAAGAAAAGGGATTCTTTAATGGGAACCTATAGAAAATTAAGAAGACAAAAACGGCTGATGCAACAGCCATGCCTTCTTCTTCAGTGGCATTGCTCCATGGCTGGAGGTGGCAATTCGACTCACAAGACATAGTGCGCTGCGCTAAACAGACTGAATCAAACTGAGGTGTAAAGCCAGAAGGCACGCGCCGCGCCGCGCCGCACAAACGGGTGGCGCGGCGTGTCGCGTGGCGTGTTCTTGCGCGTGGAGCGGCGCGACGCGTAGTAGCACGCGTAGTGAGAAGCCACCATTAGACATATTTCACACATCATAGATTTCTCTGTACCTACCTCCGGCCTTGGTGAGTGTTTCCTATTCCCAGTAGGACAGGAAAAGAATTTGTATGTAATAATTGTATGGCGCTGTTTGACTGACTTTTCCTCAGAGGGTCTGGTTTGTGCGGAACATAATCCTTTATGAACTGATAACGGTGTTGCGTGGAAAGTACAGAGTAGCCAAACTTGACGCCATTTTTCACTTCCTAGGGCAATTGGCGAGGAAGTATTGTAAAGGGAAAAATTGAAAATCTTAGAAATTGAGTTAATTGACATGTACTTGAAGGGAAATCATGTCATACCAAGGACGAAATAGCTCCGCAGCTTTTTAAAATTCGACTATTGGCGTTGAGGTTATGAGCGAACAATTTCAGACCGTCCCCAAACGTCACTTGTCAATGTCTTTCGAGATTATGAATATTTATGTGCCTAGTCTACAACTTTTTTGGGAGTCTTAAACACTTTTCAATAATCAAGCAGGGCAATTACCCCACAAAGCTGATACGTATGTTCAATGACCCACAACTTGGAGTAGCTAATGTCAGTCAATTATCAATAATTCAATACTCGTTGGACTTCACTATTTCTATTGTTAACAAGATTCTACTAAATTCCACTTGTTAATGCTCGACATTAAAGATTAGTATCACTGAAAACACATACCCCACATTTTCATCTATATACACTTAATATGTATCTACGAATGTATTTGTTCTCCAAAATAATCTGATGTAATACTTCAATCATATCCTACATAGTGATTCTTCCAGGACTGCATTCGGAATTGATGACTTTGACCTGGGTTTTGGACCATTCGACGTGATCGGAAAAAGGTGAGTTTGTTTCTTTAACTAACACGACAGAAGTGTATTCAAAATTGGAGTCAACTACTACAATCGCAGTTCGTGAAAGAAAAATTTGTTGTTCAAAGTTAATGTCCATGTCAAAATCTAGACGAACATTTACTAAAAGTATCCTTGTAATCTCAGTGTAACCATAGGGTTATTTAGTAGGCATATCGACTTGTATTTTACCAATCAATTTTTATCGATCAATAATAAGATAATTTTTCCTAACCAGTATGTCCTAAGAATAACCTATCATCCAGGGCACATTTTAGATTAATATTAGGTAAGGGTGCATCAATAAGAACACAATATTTGAATTACGCACCATTTTGGCAATCATAATGACATAATGATTCTGACAAGACAGATCGATTGTGAACAGGCGGGAGTTGATGAAAATGAATTATTACACAACAAAACAGCGCATCCTAATTTTTAAAAATTATTACCAAAGTGGTGAAACTTTAATTGTCATGATTCGAAAAGTGCAGCTAATATGCGGTCGGAATAATGTTCCTGCCTAATCCTCTGTTAAAACAATATTGAAAAAATTTTACAGTATTGGTTTAGTTAATGCTATGAAGCATACGAGATTAACTGTGACAGACGGAAGATTTACACCTGCGTGCCTATAAATTCTAAAATCTGGGGGAATTATTAGACCGTCTTTCTTCGAGGACGAGGCAGGTAATCCACTAACAGTGAATGACGAAATTTATCGTGCAATGATTACTAAGTTTCTTGTGCCATAATTTGAAGCCACTGCTCTTAATAATATATGGTTCAGCAGGATCGTGCCAAATGCCATATTGCTTGTGAAACATTGGCAGTTTTGCACGAGTTTGCTCCTGGTCGCATCATCTCCCGGTTTGGTGACCAGATTTGGCCGCCTCGCTCTTGCGGTTCAACACCTTTCGACTTTTGGCTTTGGGGTTATCTGAAGTCACAAGTTTATGCCAACAAGCCTGCAACCACGGGAGCATTAAAGGCCGAAGTCAGACATACCACGACAGGTGTTCAAAATGTTATCACAAATTTTATTAAGAGGGTGCGCATGTGCCAGTGGATCCGTGGCAGCCATTTACCTGATGTGGTGTTCCATACATAATTCCAAAGTGTATATACCATAATCCAATAAATATTTCAGTTGTTTGTTACGAAATACCATGTTCTATAGAATTCTGAAATATTGCGTTCTTATTGAAACACCCTTTATAACCTCTAGATTTGCCTTCGAGGTGAAGAATTTGTTTTTGGAGATATGTTTCTTGTTCTAAACCAACCAATTTCACCTCTTGGTCAAAGGTCTATTAGGGCCTTAATTAGTAGTTACCAATTTTTGACCAAGGGTCTTTCAAGACAATTCAACATGAAGACAGCATTCAAGGATATAATTACTAAAATTGGATAGATATAGTAGTAGCCCATTTTTACAAAATGTCATTTGGGTTGTTTGCCAAAGATTATCAGTACCCCTCACCTCAGTAAAAAAGCCTAGGCAGAACGTTCTATTTTCGATCAGTCTACTTAAATTGTTCACGTATTTTTGTTGTAGATGTATTGGCGGAGTATGCTTTCCAGACACCATAACCGACGATTGTATTGGAGGAGACTGCGACATGCTGACTGGAGACGTAGTCAAGAAAGCATTATTTGTGGATGTGAGTTGTGTTCATAATTTTAATATGTGAGATTATATTTTCTGATAGGAATCATAGCCCTATGTATTTTTCATTGTTGAAGTTATAATTATGCTAATTATTTAAATAAGGATACAAAAGGGAGCTTGTAAATGGAGAAGATTGTTATCTCAAAATCTTGATACGTTATTTTCCGCTCTAACAATATTCTCAAACAAAAATGACTAACTGAAGTCTAAAAGGATGACGATCGATTAAAATTATAAACTGAGCGTCAAAACCAGATAAGTCAATTTGGATTTAAATAATATTTGATATCATTCTTCCATGGCACACTTAGGAAGGTGTTAATATAATACTTCCCTATTATTAGAAGCTGAATAAAACTGAAACCTTGAATACATTTTTAAATAGGTTGCCAGGAAACTACAGAAAGCTAAACTGCTCGAACAACTGAACGCGGAGATCAACCTGGGTACCAACAAAGGTTTGTGGCACACCATGGATTCGACCATAGACAAGGTCTGCGGACCCGGAGGCTGCATTTTTACTAGAAAGCCTACGCTAAACTTATTGACTGGTGGCATTTTCTAAGAACCTCCATTTACGGTGATTAATTGTTAATATCTTCCATGTTCTCTTGAATAAAGTTGTGGCATTTATGTTGGTTTTCCTTTTTGTCACAGTTCGATTATGTAGTACAAGGTACACGGTACAGGATGATTCAAAAAGCAATGGCAATATTTTTATGACAGAAAGAGCGTCTCAAAATAACGCGGAAAATAAACAAAGACGCCCTCTTAACAAGATGCTCCTACAGGGCATTGAAGCAACGTGATTTTGAAGTTTAAAAGAAGTGTGTCTGGAGTAGACAAAGATACCAACTTGAAACTTTGTGGATGTAACACGGATTGATACACAATACATAAAAACACTCGTTGCCCAAATTACTTCAGTGGAATAGACACTTGGATATTTTGGCTATCAAACTTTTTGTAAACATTTATTGCATTTTTGAGCAATATGAATTATGTCTTAAATGAAATTTTTTAGAGAAGTATTGCTACTGTTGCTAAAATTTTGTTTGTATGAAAAACGTGAGTCTGATATACTTTGAAATATTTTGAAGTTGGTGAAGTTTGAAATTAAGAATTGTATCTAGCTTAATAGGGGACTAATAAGACATCATTACAATATTATTTGAACACCCTGTATATTATAAGATAAGACATTTTACGACCTATGTTTAAAGTATCTTTTTATATACCCCTTCTGCGTGGGCGCATACTCATCGCAGCGTTTCTTATGTAGTTTGATACTCTACATTATCTATAAACTTCGAATTACTAAATTTTATACCTATTTATGTTTATTATTGTCGCTTCCTTCATATTTCCACAGCCATGTCATTATTTACATAAACCAAGTTGCGCCACTTACCTCATAGTGACAAGTTTAAAAAATGGATACAAAGCACTAAAATGAACGGTTAAGTGCTTGCGGTTCACTCTGGTTCACTATTCGGCATCTTCAGAGGACCCACAGCGTTCAAATTTGGGACCATTGCCTTTTTCTGTTTGTTAACGTTATAAGTTGCAATATTCATTTTTGAAATCAACAGCATTGTTGATTGTGAGTACACACAGTCTCAATTATCTAAGTTGGAAGATTGGTGTCGATTGAATAAACTTCATCCGAATATCGCTGAATGCAAAGTGGTTAAATTCTGACGAAAACAACAAACAGTAAATAAAAAAATAAAGGAATTTGTGAATAACCTATAATCTGCAGGATTGCTTACAAGACAAAAAAATATTTTAAACTGTCAGGGTGGCGTGATCAACAAATTTCTGTTAAAATGGGCTAAATAAATGGAAGCTTGTGATTATGTGTTATTCATGTTATACTTATTTGAAAAAACATCAGGAATCCACATGTTTAACACAGGATTTCTGATAGATTTTAAATAGGATCCTGTAAATTTTTTTCAGAAATCTTATTCTACGTAAAGTTCTCTATTCAATGACGCACAAGTATTACATTTATTGTCAAATGATAGCTCCATAAAAGAATTTCTGAATTAACCTCTATAAGCTATAGGTATAACAAAACAAAAGTAGGTTTTTTTATTATTGGCTCTAAATGGAAACGCATTACCAATTATGTTCTACAAGCTACTATCGGTTTAGAAGAAAGTAAGGAGGCCATGAAAATATAGGATTTTTTCAAATAGCGTCTATTTGAAAAGAATAGAAGGTTATGGAAAAGAAATGAGAGTCAATTCGTACCGTACCCATTACTGTTTAGTTATTTGACGTTTGGCAGTCTTCGTTTCCCTTAAGTTTATTTTCACTTATTCGTATTCTATGGAACACAGTATTTTTTTACAGCAAGTTTTTTTTCTCGGCAAGTTGATAAGCTGTTCATATTCGCTGAATGCAGAAAAATTTCTAGAAATGCGTGTGCGCCGTACGCTCAGCGATATCCAAGTTATTCATACTTTCGTAGTAAGAAACGGAGATAAATGTTTTGGCATATGTTCTTTTTGACCCAAAGGTATCTACTAGGCAACTGGAACAAGCAAAAAATGTAAGCCGTGAGTCAGCTAGGCAGATTTCTGTTTGTTAACGTTATAAGTTGCAATATTCATTTTTGAAATCAACAGCATTGTTGATTGTGAGTACACACAGTCTCAATTATCTAAGTTGGAAGATTGGTGTCGATTGAATAAACTTCATCCGAATATCGCTGAATGCAAAGTGGTTAAATTCTGACGAAAACAACAAACAGTAAATAAAAAAATAAAGGAATTTGTGAATAACCTATAATCTGCAGGATTGCTTACAAGACAAAAAAATATTTTAAACTGTCAGGGTGGCGTGATCAACAAATTTCTGTTAAAATGGGCTAAATAAATGGAAGCTTGTGATTATGTGTTATTCATGTTATACTTATTTGAAAAAACATCAGGAATCCACATGTTTAACACAGGATTTCTGATAGATTTTAAATAGGATCCTGTAAATTTTTTTCAGAAATCTTATTCTACGTAAAGTTCTCTATTCAATGACGCACAAGTATTACATTTATTGTCAAATGATAGCTCCATAAAAGAATTTCTGAATTAACCTCTATAAGCTATAGGTATAACAAAACAAAAGTAGGTTTTTTTATTATTGGCTCTAAATGGAAACGCATTACCAATTATGTTCTACAAGCTACTATCGGTTTAGAAGAAAGTAAGGAGGCCATGAAAATATAGGATTTTTTCAAATAGCGTCTATTTGAAAAGAATAGAAGGTTATGGAAAAGAAATGAGAGTCAATTCGTACCGTACCCATTACTGTTTAGTTATTTGACGTTTGGCAGTCTTCGTTTCCCTTAAGTTTATTTTCACTTATTCGTATTCTATGGAACACAGTATTTTTTTACAGCAAGTTTTTTTTCTCGGCAAGTTGATAAGCTGTTCATATTCGCTGAATGCAGAAAAATTTCTAGAAATGCGTGTGCGCCGTACGCTCAGCGATATCCAAGTTATTCATACTTTCGTAGTAAGAAACGGAGATAAATGTTTTGGCATATGTTCTTTTTGACCCAAAGGTATCTACTAGGCAACTGGAACAAGCAAAAAATGTAAGCCGTGAGTCAGCTAGGCAGATTTTGGAGAAATATGGGTTCTGCTCATATAAGTATTAGGTACATCACTTATATGAAAATGTATTTCCAAGAAGATTTTCCTAATGTAGCTGTTTTCGTGCTCAACTTCAAGAAACTAGAAATTTTTTTTATAATATTTTGTGGCCTGATGATGATTAGAAGATATAAACATCTTTCTTATTACTTTGCCTGAAATTATATTTTTTTATTTTGATCACATCGCCATCTTAACAGTTTAAAATATTTTTTCTCTTGTAAGCAATATTGCCATATGGCGGATCTTAGGTTATTCACAAATTCCTTTAGAGCGCCGCCATTTTAAAACGAAAATGTCACTTATGAACATCGTTATAAAGGGAATTCTGCATAGAGTACGATTATGGAAGAAGATATACAGGTTTCCAGTTGAAGAACGAAAGTCAATGACCTCTTAATAACTAAACATGTCCCAATCTTGGAGCGATACCTTTATTTGCCAAAAAAGACAGGGTCTTTCCAATTTTCATTGTCACCCGGTAGATATATGTATTTTAGATTCCGATATTATAAGTTCAATACCCTGTATCTCGGTAAGGGGACATCTTAGAATCGATGTTTGTATGAACTTTTTCTGAAACACCTTGTATATTTCAGGGATTTTTTTTCCTATACCAAAACTGGCGAGGAGTTGTGGTAATCGCGAAAAAATTAGGAATTCATATATTATGCTTTTTTTGATGTTACATGACAGGTAGATAACGAAAAACATGTCACTCATTTCCATCGGTTTGTCTGTCTGTCTGTCGGCCTGTCCGCTAATTCTATAACCGCCTATAACTTAAGAACTATCGCTCGGATTTTTATGAAACTTCCACACAAAATCACTACTATGCCAAGAATAAAAAAGCTTTGTAGTTCTTGAAAATCGGGATAGTGGTGGCGAGGCTAGGGGCAAAAATACGAAAAGAATAAAAACCGCTTAAGCTTCGTTTTTTGATGTTCCAGAGACTCCTGATCATTTTCGGGAATTGTTTTGTAGCGGTTGAAACTTGGGGGTTGTATGAGGTAGCGGGTAGGAAATGTCTTTGATATTATTTATAGACGTTATATCATTAAGAAGCTTCTGATCCCGGTAACAACGGGAAAATTAAATGATGATGATGGGTACCACTTTACCTCGCTGCGATGGTTTTGTACATGATGACTTCACTATTCTTATATTTACACATATATTTTTTGTGTTACTCCGTCTATGATGGTTCTCTGAATATTTCATGAAGTAGATTGACTCAGTACTTATGACACATTGATATACAACAGACACGGAATGACAAACATAGTGTTACATTGTTTTAGAGATTTCCTGTTCATTTCTAGACATTGTTTTAATTGGTTAAATATTATAGGTTGCAAGCTGTATACGGTAAATAGTTCTAAATTGTTGAAAATTTGGTGTCAGAGAAAAGCCTTCTATTGGTAAGACGCTGATGATCTCAGTGATACTGTGCACCTGTTAGACATAATTAGTCACACATATTCTCCCTACTTCTGCCATGGAAACAGAAATATGATAGATTTGCTTGACACAGTTTGATATGCAGAGGTCTAAGATTCATCGTACCTAAGTGAACCTACCTAATCACGTTTCGATTTCGCCATTTGAAATGATTTGACTCATCCATTCTCTTTGAAACATCCAACGAAGGCGTAGGAGGTATAGTCAGTCTACTTGACTTCATTTTTTCTACTGTCATTGTCTACTGATTCAAGTATGCTCATTATGATCATAATATCGACAAATTGTCCAACAATACGGAATGGCAGTAGTTTGATTAATTAACATCTGCATATATTGCATCAGTTGATAGCCGGTTAATAACATCGATAATGCTACAATTATATGACGCCATCTTTTATCTTTACTGACGGAAAGTTGTGATGTTAAATTTGGCTGAGCTCTTCGTTAGTAGCTATTTAAAATAAATTTTTCACGTGATATGTTGCAGCAACATCTTATTCTTGATTACTGCTGTACGAAATTCTAGGCGCCATCTGAACATTCTTTTTCCGGCGGGACCGCCGGAGGATTTCCCCCACTCACAGCAAGCCTCTAATTCTAACGTACGAGTATCATGCTCATCTGCACCTAAATGTTAACAGTATTGTTGTTCAATTGTTTTTCCTGAGGCGATCATGTATATTGTTCAGAAACATATGACTCACAGCTCAGTATTTTGATCACCAATAATTGTAATAATTATACTAAGTGACATATAAATCCGAACACCCAGTTTAAATGGTTTTAGTTTAATAAAAGTTGGTGAATGTATTTATCTTACTGTAAATAACAAGTGAAAAAATGTTCAGCCTTCTCAGTTGGACATTCCGGTTTTTATACTGCTTTTTTTTAATTCACTAACGCTCTAAAAATGAATATTTCAGCCGCAGTAAAGAATCAACGTTGGCGGATTTTGGTTCTTGACATCCTTTACGATCGGTTACGATGCCTAGAGTACGGATACCTGTACGATTTCGTCAACTTAGTGAGTTTGATAGGGGCCGTATAGTGGGACTTCGGGAAGCTGGACTTTCTTTTCGGGCAATTGCAGTTAGAGTGCAAAGAAGTGTAGACACTGTGGTTAGGTGTTGTCAGGCATGGCTTCGAGAAGGCCGTACGCAAAGAGCAAGGGGCACTGGACGCCGCCGTAGAAGAACAGACCGTGAAGATCGCCGCCTAAGATTATTGGCCTTAAGGGACCGTTTCTCCACTACCAGGTCCATTGCAAATGAACGGTTTGCAGAACACGGAAGACCTATTGGCATGCGAAGTGTTTACCGACGAATGAGAAGTGTTGGCTTGTTGTCATACCGGCCACACTGGGTCCTCCCTTTAACTCGAGAACACCGACGTAATCGCCTTGAGTGGTGCAGACAACGGTCTCAGGATCAGGATCAGGAATGGAACTGTATTGTCTTTAGTGACGAGTCTCGATTTTGTTTAGACATGCACGATGGTCGTGCCAGGGTTAGAAGGTGACGTGGTGAAAGGAGGAATCCACAGTTTTTTGTTGAAAGACATGTTCATCACACTGTTGGAGTTATGGTTTGGGGTGCTATAGCTTATGGTTCCAGGTCACCTTTAATCTTCATCAGAGGTAACATGAACGCGCAACGTTATATCCACGAAGTTCTAGAACCCCATCTTTTACCCTATCTTGACACCCTGGCAGATCAAACTTTCCAACAAGATAATGCCCGACCACATGTTGCAAGAGTCACAATAGACTTCTTTCAACATAATGATGTCACATTGTTACCATGGCCACCAAGATCTCCCGACTTATCCCCAATTGAGCACGTGTGGGATATGATGGGTAGGAGATTGCTCAACTTGCAACGTCCTCCTCAGACTCTAGAAGCACTTCGAGAGGAGTTGGTGGTTGCCTGGAATGAGATACCACAGGAGGACATTGACCACCTGATCAGAAGCATGCCTAGGCGCGTTGGAGAATGGGTAGCACATCAGGGTGCATCCACATATTATTAAAGGTCAAAGGGCTTTAAAGCAGTGCAATCATTTTGAAATTTTTTTACTTATTATGCTTCATTAAGTACTTATACAAAATTTTATTAAAATAAACCCATTTAAACTGGGTGTTCGGATTTATATGTGACTTAGTATACATACGGCATACGCCTAGACCTAGGAACAATATAAACATTACTTTGAATATATCCTGTCTCCGGCATCCATAAAATTGTTAAGAACTATACTAGTTAAGGGCAGTAAAGTGTAAAAATCGAAGTCTGAGAATACTGGATTTTGTCGAACTAAATAAATAATTTTATTACGACAAAACAAAATTGAATGGACATTGCAAAGTAACGTTGACTTTATATCATTAACATATGATTCTGCTGAGTACGTTGATTCTGCTACGCTGTCATAACAATAAAGATTAATAATAATAGTAGTAATGATAATAATAATGTTAATAATAATAAATATTATTCTAAGTTTATTTATATTTTTATAAGCGAGGAGGTAACTTTCAAAATATGATTTGTCCATCGGATATGGAACCACGACAAAAGCACATTTTTTATTTTGATGAAAGCGGTATTCCATTGTGAATACTTCAAATGATGGAAGATGAAAATGGATGTCCTGAATGGAACTATTAAAAGTTTACAGATAAATGACTCTTGTCTCTCTTGATTTTCAGGATTGAAAAATGGACCGCTTTATGCATGAGCTATGTGGAGAAAACACAATTTGAATTAAAAACATGTTAAAATGTAACAGTCAGATCGTGTTTTCTCCATACAATATTAATTAGTTTGCGAAGTATCGTTTAACTTATAAACACTACAGACAAAAGTATTTTGGAAATTACTTTATTTCAACATTACAGCTATTTCTTCGGTAATGGTTGAAGTACTGAAAAGTACTTCTTTGTACCCTTTAAAGCGGTTATCGATTTTGCCAGTTTTCAAAAACAGCCTGCATAAGCCTATCAACATCGTTCTTTTTGTCAGATAAGGGCCTTCCCAGAGGCAATGTTTGTGGCTGCATCCTACATAACATAGTATTGGTGAATGACTTTTTGTTCAAATTTTGGTATGATTCATCTCCCTCATAGATGACGTTCTCCATTGCCTTAACTCTGACTGAACGCTTACCATGAACCTCACTGACTTTGAAAAATATCCTCTTCATGTTGCTTATATTTTTTAAGTCCTTGTAGAACTTCTTTAAATCTTTCGTGATTTTGAGTTCCTAGTCCTGCCCTAGTACATACAACTGTCCCAGTTCTTTATAAACGTCCATATATTCATCTTTTTCAATGATAGTCGGCTTATTCCGCAACAGTTTTTCAGCCCTACCAAAGATCCTATCCGCAGGAAGAAACGAATGCCCACCAGTTGGAAAGTGCATATGAATCTCTTTAACTGCTGATGTCATCTGTGTTTGCATGAAGTACAGAATCGTATGGGTAACAATATTATTCTTATTCTGAGCACCGCACCCATCACTGAACAACCTTAAAATACTGCAATTTTGAAAGTCAGTATTGTGAAGGAAATGTAACAACGCAGATGAAATTTATGTACTCCCCTTCCCAGCTTGTTCCTCAGTCCAGCAGTAAAACTTTGGGTATAGTCCTTTCACATCTACTACACAGAAATTATAAAATCCAATTTGTCTTGAGTAGTATGCTTCCTGCACGGGCGTTTTTGGTAGAGGCTGGATTTGTTGTAAATCAAAACAGTAGCTCACAGAATCATCTACGTTCTGTTTCATGAGCTGATAAAATGCATTTGCTCTCTTCTTATGAATTTTTTTTTCTATGATGAAATCGCTTCTTTCTTTGGATCCCGCAGGAACTGTTTTGATTTTGTGATCCAAAAGTGTACAGTGGTTACATACATACATCAGTAGCTGGAGGTTTAAAACCAAGTTATTTACGAAAACTCGTCTGAACCTTGAATGTTCTACTTTCAATTCATTCGGGGTATTCTCATTGTAAATTGTATGTAGTTTTTAATGCTCAGGTCTGCCATCAAATATATCCGTTTAGACTTATTTCTTCCATAGTGACACTCACTCTTTCGAAGTTTTCCAATAAACTGTTTCACACTTTCTTTCTTTTCTCGGTTCAAATGGCTCTTCCTGTCTCCTCCTCTATTATCTCTCAGCATTTCATCATTGAACTGTTTCTTTGCAATGTTTTGCAATCTAGTGCGCCCTATCTTCGTGACTTCTAGAAAGAACTTCTTACAAACTGACACCCGCTGAGAATTAACACTTAAGAAGTATTTAACTGTGTATAAATGATTCGAAACGGTCTTCTTGTTTTGTTTTTCACGAGGCCTTCTACGCTTCACTCCTTGAGTCTGGATCAAAGATAAAATGATTTCATCCTGTGCAAGCTTCTCCGGAACTAAACACAACTTTTTTCGAATTTCTGCGACGTATTTGGTGTCACTTTTGAACAATGAAAGACCTTTGTATTGTGCCCACATTCCAATTGCGGAGTTTTGAATATCTCGCACTTTTAGCGGCAAACCCTTTTTCCACCAGTAGATTGTCTCTTATGGCTACCACTATTACTTACTTCTACATCAACAGTACCTGCATCGTCTAAATTTTCCATTTTCAAACTGAGTACCTAATTGAAGAAGAGACAAACAACATACCCTTAACATGTAACGGCCGTATGACGAGTGGTCCATTCAAAATGTGTTTTGTCTAGGTTTGGTCAAACGTCAAAATGGCGTCCGCTCATCTGTGATTGGTTGTTCGGACAAAACATTTTATGACTGATTCCTGACTAAGTACAGGACAAGTTAAGTTTTTACCAGAATTTTAGCTCAAAAAAAAATATATGGGAGGGATCACGATTTGATTGTCTTTGTCTACTAAAAACAAGCGGTCCGTACATAAAAGAAAGGTGGGGCTGCTAACTCATTTTTTTCTCTTTTGTGACAAAACACGTTTTGAAAGTTACCTCCTCAAACGTAAAGGGATATTTCATATATAAAGAGGATGGGTAATGTCATGATACCGTATCTACTGGATAAATATTTACCCATTGCCTACTAGATACCCCAGCCATGCATCTTAATATCATATTTTGTGCCATGAGTATATCTTGTGCTGTTGTACTCCTGCCCCAAAAGCAAATACCATAACCGTAGTCTGCTGGTAACCTGACCATGGTAAAACAACAATAACTGATCAAATGCAGTAGAATGCAAATTAGAAATTAAATGGCTACAGTGATGTTCCAACTTAAGCATGGATATCGATCCATCTTTTACATCGAGCGGCCCAGAAATTTTATAGCATCGCAATTATTTGCAGCTACAACGGAATTCCCAACAGTTACCGTAAGATCATGACAACTTTGCCTATTGTGAAAACGGAGTATGGCTGTTTGGTCGTATTTAAAAAAGGTTATTGTCATTAAACCAGGAGTTAATCATGAACATTGTGGTATATATTTACGTTGTAGAGAGATTTCTGATTTATCACAAATTACAATACAGGTGTCATCAGCATGTATGGTGAAGTTTGCTGGTAAAGTTAATTGATCCAGGTAATTTATGTAGATCAAGAACAGGAAAGGCCCTAACACTGATCCTTAAGCTACACCAATGTTAACAAACATTTTATCCGAGACGGCACTGTCATTTACATACTGCTGCCGATCGGCAAGAAAAGTACTCAACCAATTAAGAGCATTACCAGGCATTCCGAATCTAGATAATTTGTCTACAAGCTTATGGTGATCTAAGCAATCAAATGCTTTACTTAAATCGCAAAAGATGCCAACCGGACTTTCGCCTTTTTCAATATAAGGTGCCTGCGGCAAATAAGGCCCGGGGTGTAATAAGGCCCACATTCAAAAACTCGCGGTAAAATACTTCAATCCCGGTTCAAACTGGACTCGCACATGCGTAAGACCGGTAGGTACAACGCGACGTTAGCATGCGGCTGACACGCGCCGCCATTTTGCCAGAAGCCAACGATTGCTGACAATAGTGCGCTACACCACTCCGATTTATAATTATTAGTGAGGAAGAAATGTGAGTATTCTTATTCATTTGTTATTAAGCGATAACGTAGCGTAATTTTATTAAACATCAGATGCAATAGTATATAATTTCTATGGTTTTAATCGAAAATAATAGCTCTTTTTGTTGTGAATTGATGGTTTTATAAAAATAATGCTAAACGACTAATAAGGCCCACTGAAATAGGTCATGGGCCTTATTACCCTACCTTTCTTATACAACTCAACATATTTTTTCTATTTACAGTCTGGACAGATATGCCTCCACGACGAGCTCAGTGGACGCAAGAAAACTTACGTTCTGCTATGGAATCTGTAGAGCGAGGGCAGTTGACGCAGCGTGGTGCAGCAGACCTACGAGTATATAACATACCTAGACGTACGCTGAGGGACCACTTAAAAAGTGGAAGTATAATAAGACGTCTGGGACGCAGTTCTATTATGGATGAAGGACAAGAACGCGATCTTGTCAACAGAATCATAAGATTCGCGAATATTGGGATGCCACTTACTCCTAAGATTATTCGTAGACAAGCATTCATCTTTTGCGAAAAATATAAACTTAAACATAATTTTAAGAAGAACGTTGGCCTTGCTGGCAAAGACTGGCTAAATATGTTATTGAAGCGACATCCAGAAATTTCAAAACGAAAGGCACAGTTCATGAATCCAGCCAGGGCGCAAAAGGTGAACAGACCAATCGTAAGTCACCACTTTGAAGAAGTTAAGAAATTATATGACGAACTTGATATAGCAACGCATCCAGAACAACTTTACAATATAAATGAAAAGGGATGACAGTTTAGATTATACGATTGCTGAGGAAGCAGACCGTCATGACATAGTCCTATATTGCCTCCCAAGTAACACAACTCACGAGCTACAGAACTTCTATAAATCCGTTAATAAATCCTTTGAACATTATTGGGATCAGGAGGTTCTGAAATACATGTACCAAAATCCGGGAAGACGCATAACGAAAACCAGTTTTAATGCAATTTTCACAAGGGTCTGGTCACAATGTTTGACCCATGAAAATATAGTAAACGGTTTGCGGGCTACAGGCCTATACTATTTCAATCCGGACCTATTACCTGACGAGGCATATATTCCATCTATCTTAACTGAGCTACCGCCACCAACAGAACCCAGTGCTGCCGTCGGTCCGATATAGATTGTGTCAATCAGCCAGAAGAACAGCCTCAGAACAATGGCGATTCTCCATTTTCTTTAGAGCAAGCTCCACATTCACCTGAAAAAAGTTCTGCCCAAAGCGCCACAGATCCGCATGCCTTGACGGTTAATAGTAATCAATAACATAAAGACATCATTCAGTCATCTGAAAAGAGCTTGAGTAATGTAGAAAGAACACCTAAGAAGATACAGATCATTAGTAGAAACGTTTTCACTCTGATGCAGTCACCACAGCCTTCCACTTCAAGACATCGCAGGTCTCCTATTATATCGTCGTCATGTAATTTATAGTTCAGAATCCGAGACAGATGCTGAAACGACTATTGTACAGCATAGAACAAGACTGGCATCAAACAAATCGTCACTGCCCATGGATAATATATATTGTTCTAAAGGAAAAATCGAAGACAGCGATAGTTTCAGTTCTGATGACAACATACCTTTAGCTAACTTCAAAGCTAATAAATTTAGGTCTCCTTTTCAAGAGCTATTGCCAACTCCGAACTATGCTGTAACAAAAAATAAGCCTAAGAGAATAGCTATTAATTATAAAGGCCAACGAATTACCAAAGACCTATTCAAAGAACGATAAGCATTGAATGAAAACGAGAAGACAAAGAAAACAAATTACAAATTAAATTACAAAAGAAAAACCAAGGAAACCTAAAAGAAAACTAAAGATGGAAACCAACAACGATCTCATAGTGATGAAAGAAAAAGAAGCAAAGTTCCGTCAGAAGAATCTTGGTTTTGCTGTGCTGGCAAGGAAAATCGTATGTCGGATATGGGACGGTATGTTAAATGTCAGATATGGTACCACGAAGAATGCGTAGGGTTGACCAAAAATGATAAGGAATTGTTTTATTGTCAAAACTGTGATGAATAAGTATCGTTATCATTAGGTAAACTAGGACAAAGAAAACAACACTGAAAACTTACAAAAGAAAAACCAAAGAAACCGAAAAGAAAACTAAAGATGGAAACCAACAACGATCTCATAGTGATGAAAGAAAAAGAAGCAAAGTTCCGTCAGAAGAATCTTGGTTTTGCTGTGCCTGCAAGGAAAATCGTATGTCAGATATGAGACAGTATGTTAAATGTCACATATGGTACCACGAAGAATGCGTAGGGTTGACCAAAAATGATAAGGAATTGTTTTATTGTCAAAACTGTGATGAATAAGTATCGTTATCATTAGGTAAACTAGGATCTATATTGATGGACTATTTATTTGTATTCAATCGAACCTCTTAGTCATTCAAGTACAATATTTCTAAACGAATCTACTTCCAAAGTTACCAATCCAAAGTCTGATTTAGGATATGTCATTTAAGCCTTAACATAAGAAATCTTGTAATAACTTAAAAAGTGGCCTTATTACCCCCGGGGTTTAATAAGGCCCACTGTTATCTCTTAATTTTATGTAATAATATGTTTTTGTTGATTTTAGCTACAGAAAAATGCCAAAAACATGCTGATTTCTGTGCTACTATTTATCTTTTATTCTTACCTTAAATAAAAAAGCTTTCTACTGAAATACGTTTTTTCAATTTTTTCGATATAGTTCCTGAGTTCTTTAGGTTTAAAGTTAGGTGGGCCTTATTCACCTCAGGCACCTTATTTAATTATACGTTCATAATACGCATGTGTGGTTTACAAGTGT